GTCGCTATGAGTCGGGTCCGACTCGACGGCACATAACAACAACAACAAGTAGTTTTCATAACTCTGCCCCTTGTGTGTTCTACTAAATACATGAATATATTTACAGCCCTACAAATATGTATATAGAAATATGCTCTGCTAAACATATATATAATCATGAGTGTAGTCTTATTCACCTACTTATATCTTGCATGTCTGCCTATGTATCGACTCATAAACTATTGTTTGTTATGACTGATTTTTAGGATTGTGTATGAATAGTGTTTACCTTTGTTGTCTGTAACTCTTATGCACCTGTCGGTGTCTTTGTTTGCCTTAGTGATATTGTGCTGATCTCCCCCTTATTATATATCACCTTTCCTTTTACCCAAATTAATTCATGTCTATTATCTAGGTAGTGACTTTCCTGCCCCTCCCCTCCCATCCCTGGTAGCCATCAAAGAATGTTTCTTTATGCGTCTAAACCTTTCTTTGATTTTTTTATAATAGCGGTCTCACACAATGTTTATCCTTTTGTGATTGACTTATTTCACTCAGCATCATGTCCTCTAGGTTCCTCCACATCCTCCAGGCTATTTGTAGACTCTTTGTTATTCTTTTATGTTGCATAGTATTCCATTGTGAGGGTGGGCCATAGTTTATCCATTCATTGTTGATAGGCAGTTAGGTTGTTTGCATCTTTTTGCTATTGTGAACAGTGCTGTGGAACATGAGTGTGCATATACCTGGGTCTCAGTTCTTGTTTCTCTTGGATGTATTCCTAGTCGTGGGATTGCTAGGTCAAATGGTATTTCTAATTTCCAACTTTCTTAGGAAGCTCCGTAGCATTTTCCACAGTGGTAGAATCCATAGGTTTTTCAATGGATGATTTTTTGGAAGTAGATCACCAGGGCTTTCTTCTGAAGTTCCTGTTGGTGGTCTCGAACCTCCATCCTCTTGGTAAACAGCCAGTGTGTTAACCATTAGCACTACCCAGGGACTTCTCCCATCTAAGGAATCTTTTATTAATTCCCTCCGCCATGGCAGGATCTAACTCTGATGCCTGTTCTCCTCAGCAGGTGGAGATCCTTGGGCCATGCCCTCCCTGCAGCCAGTTCAGACATGAAAGGTGGGGCTGCTTGAGAGAGGCTGGCCTGGGTCCTTGGACTGCCTGCTACTTGCCCTGCTTCCTCAGGCCTGCTTCTATCCAGAGCCATATGCTAGCCCATAGGCCTCGTTGTGAAAATTAGAAAAAGACACCACCTGCAGGTGTCTCTCAGGATGGATATGGTCCCTATGGCTCGGGGTATGCTGAATTTCAATTCCACTGCCTCCTTTGGCTAAGGAGTTCTGGTGGTGTAGTGCCAAAGGCATTTGACTGCTAACCAGAGGTTGGTGGTTCAAGTCCACCAGCTGTTCCGTGGAAGGAAGATGGGCAATCTGCTTTTGTAGAGATTTACCACCTCAGAAACACAATGGGGGTCACGATGAATTAGAATCAGCTCAATGTCATTGAGTTTTTGTTTTGTTTTGTGTTGTTTTTTGCCTTCTCTGGCAGAAGTCCCTGGGTGGTACAAGCAGTTAACATGCTTGGCTGCTAATAGGTAGGTTGAAGGTTCAAGTCCATTCAAAATTTCCTTGGAAGAAAGACCTGGCAATCTGTTTCTGAAAAATTAGCCACTGAAAGCCCTATGGAGTACAGTCCTACTCTGACACTTGGGAGTCCCCACGAGTCTGAGGCAACTAATAACTGACCTTCTGGGGCCAGTGCCTGTGGGTAACACAAACTGCACAGCCACACACAGAGCCATGCACACTTCCTGGCTGGGCACAGGAAGGAGAGAGGTGGGAGTGGGGGCAGGCGAAGGACAGCCTGTGCGTGCAGCTACCGCATGTCCTGTTGCTCCCACACGCCGGGCCCAGGGCTGTGCTCCTTATCTGAATTATTTCCTTAAATTTTCACAACTACTCAGTGAGGTGGGTATTAGTGATGCCTCCATGTTTGTTTGTTTGCTTGTTTTTCTGAATTATTAAAATATTTTCACTCTCAGTACCATCATTTTTCCATGTATCTAATGGGTATGATAATCCTAGTTCTTCTCTCAAGTGCTTGTTCTGAAAATCAAATGAGACCACAGTGATAAAAGTGCTTGGGAAAGAGATTTTTAAACATCCTACAAATGTCCGTTTTATACTGACCTCCATTACTGAAGCTTCAGAGGCAGGTTTTGGGACCTCATTTTTGAGAAACTCACCTTGATTCACCAAGCCCCCAGCATTATGTATGAACGAGACTGAAGGTCGCTGTCCTGCTGAGCTGAGATACTGCCATTTGGGAATCCATCTGCCCCTAAAATCATTACAACTGCAGGCTGCATCGGACAAAGCATGTGTGCTCAGTGCTCAAGGTCGATTCACAGCCCTGGCAAGCCGGCCTGGACAGGGTGACCTCATGGGCCTTTCCCACTTCTCACTTTTATGACTGGGCTCACTGTTTAGTTTTTGGCTTTCTCTTTCTTGCAGCTGTGGTGATTGGGATTTAGGGCAAGCATTTGGGATTCCTTTTCTAATCCATTTCAAATCCTGATTTAGTCCGTGATGGAGGTGGAGAGGAGGGAGTCACCATGGCTGGAGGCAGTAGCTCAGAATGTCAGAAATTCAGACAGGAATCCCAGCTATCATTGACTGAGGCAGGAGGCCTCTCATCTCCTCCAATATTACCTTCCCAGAATGCAGAAGGCATAAGCTTCATTTGAAGACTCAGCCCTTTATAGCCTCTGCAGCCCTTTATAGCCTTTGCACCTAGCTGCTGAAGGGTTGAGTACAGTTGTTATGGTGGTGAGGGCGGGACTCCATTTGCTGTTTCCTTGTTGAAATGCTAGGTGGGTGGGTCCTTGCTCAAGTGGCTCCCTGGTTAAAAGCTGAGTCCCCCTCTCTAGTAGATCAGTACAATGGCCTGGATGATCCACCTTGCAAACCACTGCCAGACTCTTTTTTATTATGTACCTTTCCTACGGGAGAAGTAAGTTACATGATATGATGTGAAGGTGGTCCCCTATCACCTGTGGCATCATGTATAAATTTCTCTCTCTGAATTTAAAGGCCTTTTACAACTGGCTTATGGCTATCCTTCCAACTGAATGTCTGCCTGCAACTCTAGCAATTCCCTCTAAGGTCTCATCAGAGAAGCACTGGTGGTGCAGTGGTTAACCATTCAGCTGCTAACCTACAGGTCAGCGGTTGGAAGCCACCAGCTGCTATGCAGGAAAAAGATGTGGCGGGCTATGCTTCCACAAAGATTTACAGTCTTGAAAACCCTATGGGGCAGTTCTACTATGTCTATAGTGTTGCTATAAGTCAGAATTTGACTCAAAGGCAGTGGGTATGGTTTCATCACTTGATCTGTTTTCCACCATATTCACTCCCTGTTGGGATTTTCTTGTGTTTCTGTTTCCTTGTGTCCCTTTTCTCCAATCCAAATACCAGCCATCAGGGCCAGTTTATGTCCCATTTGCTTGACCCCAGTCCACTAATACTCCTCGTTCTCTGAGTAGCTATTGTCAGAACCACACAATTTCATAGTATTTACCATATTTTATGCAAATAATGCATGTGTTATATATTTTTGTCAACTGCACAACCTCCATCTCATGCTATTTTCATAAGCATGCTATATCACACATTATGTGTGTGGGTGCATTATTTGCATGGGTACATTATTTGCAAAAAAAAAAAAAAAAAAAGGGTACTCTTTCATTGTTCCGTTACTCAAGACTCCCCAGGTGGATTGTAAGCCCCTTGATATTGGACCCTGTCCTAAGCTTCTTTCATGTTCCCTATAGTTTCCAGTCAACCTTATGTGCCAAATAAAAACAAAATCAAACTCCCTGCCATTGAATCAGATCTGACTCATAGTGACTCCTTAGGTTTCCGCAGCAGTATCACTTCGGAAGTAGATTACCCCTCCTTCCTTCTGAGGAGTGGCTGGTGGGTTTGAACTGCCAGCCTTCTGGTTAGCAGTCAAATGCCTTAGGCACTATGCCACCAGAGCTCCCTACATGCCAAATAGTAAATAATAAAATAATCTTTACTCTGATAACATATTTGCTCACCCAAAAATTGCATCAACAACTTGCAGGAAACTAAAGTGTTCATTTATCTTGCAGTAAGAAATACTATTGGTTTGTACCCAATACCTGTGTTGTTGTTGTTGTTGTTATGTGCCATCGAGTTGGACCCGACTCATAGCGACCCCTCCTTCGGTTTCCAAGGCAGTATCACTACAGAAATAGATTGCCCCATCTTCCTTCCGAGGAGTGGCTGGTGAGTTTGAACCACCACCCTTCTGGTTAGCAGTCAAGTGCCTTAAGCATTATGCCACCAGAGCTCCCTCCGTGCCAAATAGTAAATAATAAAATAATCTTTACTCTGATAACATATTTGCTCATCTAAAAACTGCATTGACAACTTGCAGGAAACTAAAGTGTTCATTTATCTTGCAGTAAGAAATACTATTGGTTTGTACCCAATACCGATAGTCATCTGTTATACACATATATACCCTGAACAGGAAAGAAAACCAGTGAAGGGTGGAGGTTTGAAAGGATCCAACCCTAAGATTTCCAACAATAGTCAATCTACATTTGGCCCTTGTTGTTAGCTGTCGTTGAGTCATCCCCAACTCATGAAGACTCCATGAACAAAGGAACAAAACACTGCCTGCTCCCGTGTCATCCTCGTGGTCCATTACAGATCAGACATGGTGATATATAAGGTTTTCCTAGGCTAATACTCAGAAGGGATCACCAGGCCTTTCTTCCTAGTCCATCTTAGTCTGGAAGCTCTGCTGAAACCTGTTTGGCATCATAGCAGTACACAAGCCACCACAGTACACAGTCCGACAGATGGGTAGTGGCTGTGCATGAGGTGTTTAGCTGGGAACTGAACCCAGGTCTCCTGCGTGAGAGGTAAAAATTGTCCTTAACACTCTTCTAATGCCTTTGACTCTCCTCTTTCCCCAGAGAGCTCCTGTGAGAACAAGCGAGCAGACCTGGTCTTCATCATTGACAGCTCCCGCAGTGTCAACACCTATGACTATGCAAAGGTCAAGGAGTTCATCCTGGACATCTTGCAATTCTTGGACATTGGGCCTGATGTCACCCGGGTGGGCCTGCTCCAATATGGCAGCACTGTCAAGAATGAATTCTCCCTCAAGACCTTCAAGAGGAAGTCTGAAGTGGAACGTGCTGTCAAGAGGATGCGGCATCTGTCCACAGGCACCATGACAGGGCTTGCCATCCAATATGCCCTGAACATTGCCTTCTCGGAAGCAGAGGGGGCCCGGCCCCTGAGGGAGAATGTGCCGCGGGTCATAATGATTGTGACAGATGGGAGGCCGCAGGACTCGGTGGCTGAGGTGGCTGCAAAGGCACGGGACACAGGCATCCTGATCTTTGCCATTGGCGTGGGCCAGGTGGACTTCAACACACTGAAGGCTATCGGGAGCGAGCCCCACAAAGACCATGTCTTCCTGGTGGCAAACTTCAGCCAGATTGAGTCCCTGACCACTGTGTTCCAGAACAAGTTGTGCAGTAAGTCCTGCTCCTCTGTGGCTCTTCTAGAGGAATCTTTAGGATTCATTCATTCATTCTCAAGTGTTTGTTCTGTACTGCCGTATCCCATATGCTGGCACAGACCAAGATAGACACACAGTTCTCTTGGGGCTTACAGACTGGCCAAGGAGACAGATATTAGATATATAATTGCACAAATAAGTGACTGCAGTTTTGATCAATGTAATGGAAGAAGCATGTCGGGCCTGATGGAGCCTATAACCCAAGGACCTAACTTAGGAAACGGTGCTCAGGGAAACTTCTCTGAGGAAGGGACCCTTAAACCCAAGTGACAGGATGAGTTAGAGTAGAGATGAAATTTTTCTCCAGCATATTGAATTGCCTTGGCATTCCCTAAGCTAGAATTCTATGTGTTGAGGGGCAAGTACATATGAGAGGGCAAAACTAATATACTTTCTCTTTGGATGCTGTGGAATACCAAGAAGCAGAGGTGTTTTTGCCCTCTGGTAGTGCTAGTGGTGGATGTTTTCTTAACTGACAAAGAGGTCCAGTGACTGGGGAGGACCAATATGTGATCCTGGTGCGTTTCCACCTATTAACATGGTAATTTGCCCCCTCACATCCCTTCTGCAAGAATATGCTTCTCCAAGTCCTGGAGCCACATTCTTCTCTCTTAGGGATTTCTTCCTTATCTTACTTCCTAACCCTATTCTCTACCAGGTCTCTCTGTCCCTTTCTTCCCAGAATCTTTGGACTTGCCTCCAACCCTAGCTCTTGCCTCAGCTTTTCTCAACTTGCTTTCACCTCACCTTCCTACCTCCACAACTGCTTCTTTTTTTTTTTTTTGTCCCTTTTTCCATTGCAGGAAAATATTTTCAAACTCCCAGTGCCTCTGTTTTCCCATCTATCTAATGGGTATAATCATTTTGGCATCCTGGGCTCCACTTCGTTGTTGTCAGCCCCCAACTCATGATGAGCGCATGCACAATGAAACAAAATGTTGCCCAGTCTAGTGTCATCCTCATGATCTGTTGGGATTGGGCCATCGTGCTCCATAGGGTTTTCATTGGCTGGGTTTTGGAAATGCATCACCAGGCCTTTCGTCTTAGCTCATCTTAGTCTGGAAGCTCTTCTAAAAACTGTCCAGCATCATAGCAGTTCTCAAGTCTCCACTGGCATATGGGTAGTGACTGCACATGAGGTCCATTGACTGGGAATCGAACCCAGGTCTTCTGCCTGGAAGGCAAGGCTTCTACCACTGAACCACCAATGCCCCAGGTTCCACTCTATTCTCTGGAAACTGCAAACATGCATTCCAGGCAAGAGTGCATTCCTGCTTTCCTCAGCTCCTAGAGGTCCCTGTCCCCTCCAGCTGCCATGCTTTGATAGGGGATGTAATAGAAAATAACTATTATAAAGTGACTCTTATTTTCTCATAGTAGAGAATGGGCTTATGAATGGGACTCTTCATCAGTTCCTCAGGAGCAGGAACCTGCCCCTCTGAGGACTCTGAGGACCTGTTTTCAGAATGCCACCGACTCTAGACCCCCAGATACAAGCCTTAGAGAGGAAGAAGAGCAGTGTGTTTTTGATGTGTCTTAGAAAAATCCCCTTCTGAGAATGAGAGTGACTTCAAAAAGCAGAGAGCCTATTCTTTCTTGAATCTAAAATCAAAAGCTTTACTAAAAAATCAATGCTATGAAGGAAAATAACCTTTCCTCTGCAATGTCACTTGGAAAAGGTTCAGAAGTGCCATTTTCTTGGGCCCTCCAGAGGGACTGTTATTGTGGTGCGCTGTGGCTAAGTCAACTGGAAAACTTCAATCAGTAGGACACACTGAAAACATTCTTAAGGTTTATGACTTTAAATGACTTCTGCAGAATTTATGGTCCTCCTTGCTTAGAATATTAAAAAAGATATTGGTTCAGTAACGGGTTTCTTGGTTTATTCGTTTGTGTTGAAGGATTTTTATTATTATTATTATTACCACTCTGGGATTGTCAGCAAATGGAGGGATAAAGTGATAAGGCTCCAGAGTCCCCAGGTGGTGCAAACAGTTACTGCGAATAGCTGCTAACTGAAAGATCAGCGGTTCAGTTCCTGGTAATCTACTTCTGAAAAACGGCCACTGAAAACCTATGGAACACAATTCTACCCTGACACCTGGGGCACCATGATTTGGAATTGACTAGATGGCAACTGCTGCTAGTAGCGGTATTGAGCTACAGAACAGGACTGACGCACACGTGTTGTTAGATGTGAACTTGTCCGTGGAGGAACCTCTTCAGTGTGCTTATGCCAAGGCACCAAATTAAGACAATTTAGATCTTTTCCCTCCATCATTTTTGTTGTAATTTGGAAGGCCTATGAAAGCATCAGTGTTACTCCATTTATTCGTGTGGACTGAGAAATGAATTCCCTTGACTTGCTCAAGGGAGATGCAGCTGCTCTCTTCTCCTATTGCTGAGCTCTGCTGAGTAGACTTATCAACTGTCTTGAAAGGTTGAGGAGGCCCTAGGGCCTCTTTATCAACTTCACAGTGAAGACTGCAATAACTAACATTTATAAAGCACTTTGTCTTATGCTATCACGGGATCCTCACTGAAACCTGGGGAGGCAGGCAGCATACTACTCTCACTCCCTTTTTTTCTTTTTTAATTTGTATTGTGATTTGGGTGAAAGTTTATAGAGCAAATTCATTTTCCATACAACAGTTCACACACACTTTGTCTCATGACATTGACTGTGATTTCCCATAATGCAACAGCTCTCCTATTTCCTCCCCATACTTACCTCTTCCCTGTGTTCTTCCCTCCCATGCACTCACGCTAAAAACACTGCCCTTCTGTTCTCCCATGATTGATCGCTCCAAGTAGTGTATCTACCCCATGTAAATGTTCACCCCATATGCCTGTCTATTGTTTGGCTGGAAGCCACAGGAGTGGGTTCAACTCTGGATCTGAAGGGTAGCTAGGGGCCATAGTCTCAGGGGTTTCACCAGACTCTATCAGACAAGCAAACTTGGTCTTTATTTTTATGATTTTGAGTTTTGTTCCACATTGTTCTCTCACTCTATCCAGGATCTCCTGCACAAATCCCCCTCCAAGTGGTTGACAGTGGTAGCCATCTGGTTCTTCTGGTCTCATGGTCATATAGGCTGAGGATCACATGGTCTACCAGTTCCTTGGACTAATTGTTTCCATGTGTCTTTGGTCTTCTTCATTCTTCTTTGCTCTGGACAAGGAGAAACTCATTGTTGCATCTAGATGGCTGCTTGCAAGCTTCTAAGACTCCAGTGGCTACTCACCAAAGTAGGATGTAGAACAATATTTTTGTGTACTCTCACTCCCTTTTTAAAGTCAATAAACTTGTTAGGTGAACTATGCAATAACAAACAACCAGGAAATTATGGAGTCCTGATTTCAAGTTGGTTGCTCATTGCACTCCTCCCCATGTTGGGAGTTAGAAATTTCTCCTTTTCTAATGAAGACCTCTTAGATAAATCAACCTATGTTTGGCATTCACCTGAAATACGTAAAAGAAGCTTTTGTAGAGTGAGGAGGAACAAACTCAACTATATTCCCTTCTCCTGCCAAGTGTATGATGCTGAGCCAACACTTTGTACTCCCTGAGCCTATGTGCACAGAGTAGGCATGTGAATAGGCCTATAAACTGTAGAGTCCAATTCAATGTGCAGCTTGTTGTGTATCAGTACAGTGATTTACACTGAGGACCAGCAGTTTTATTTTGCACTCAAATTATTAGACAGCAGTGATGAGCATCTTCCAAGTTGCAGCTGATGTCTCTGAGGTTGTGGAAGTCTCATTTGTTCATTAAACACATACTGTGCTACGTTCTGCATTTGTAGGGATTGGGGCAGAGAAGTGTCATGAGCTAACCCACAGCTTAAAAGGAGCTCTAAGGCTGTGGGTAGGGCAAGGATGGAAGGAGACCAGGCAGGAGATCTGACAGTAATCCAGGCAAGGAATGATGATTTTTTTTTTAATTTATTTTATTAAAAAAAACCCAAAAACCACTAGTCAAGATTCACTCAGTTGGTTTCATGACCCGCTAAGGAGACATAACCCACAGTTAAAAAACCTGATAGAGGGCTGTGTGGGGAAGTGGGAGGTGATCCCTGTACCTAGAGAGGAGAGGATTCTGGGGAGAAGGGTTAATATTGGGGCCTGAACTGCAGGCAAAACTGAAAAGTGCTGCTGGATCTGGGATCAGAGTCAGGCAGGAGGCAGTCCCAGTACTATCAAGTACTATCAAGGCTCCTGCAGCCAGACTGCCCTGGGTGAGGCCTAGCTTGGCTCTCCCTGACTAGGTGGCTATGACCCTGACCCAGTGGCAGCTTTATACCCTTGGGCAATGACTTCCCACCCGATACTGGGCTCTGACAGCCACAGCAAGGAGAAACTGAAAGCACATCCTTGGGTCACCAGAGAAACTTAGAAAGGCAAGTGTATGTGAACCAAGGCCTTGTCTACAAGATAATCAAAATTCACACATCCTGGGCACAGCCATTTTTGCCACCCAGTGAGACAGAACATTGAATGTAGGGGAAGAAACTGTAGTTTGGAGAAATTAGTTCCTAAAAGTCATAGTGAGTGGCAAAGCTGATCTTTCAAGCAGCCTGTCTTCAGAAGCCATCCTCTTCACCACTGTGTGTTACAGCAACACACCAGATATTTTCTCTGCCTCCCGTCTCCTATCTTCTTGTCCCAGGAAGAAGGTTCCAGGAAGACTGGCACCAGGCTCGTCATTTGGGCCTCACACCAATGGGCAACTGCTGTGTGGGTGGTGACGTAGACATCCTTCTTTATGGAGGAGAACCAGTAATGGGCAGAGAGTCCCTCAGGCATGTCCCAGTGCCCGTGGGTAGTTGGACTTGGGCAGTCCAGGGACAGAAGACCCACTGCCATTGAGTTGATTCCGACTTATAGTGAGTGACCCCCATTGGGTTTCCAGGGCTGTAAATCCTTACTGAAGCAGATTGCCTCATCGTCCTCCTATGGAGTAGTTGGTGGGTTTGAACTGCTGATCTTGCAGTTAGCAACCAACTGCCTTACCCACTACACCACCAGACCGCCTCAGGAAAAGAAGAGAGCTTTACAAAAGTAAATGCAAATTAAAAATGAGATAATGCATTTTCCCTGGGAAGACTGGCAGAAAAAAAAAGATGAGACTGTGGTTAAGTGCTGAGGTTTTGAAAGAGTGGGAATCATTGTTGTCATGCATTGCAGGTTTGAGCCACCGTGGAAAGAAAGCAATTAGGCCACATCTATTTAAATTAGCACCCAGTCCTGGAGAAACAATTGCACGTGTTCTGAGGATACCTGTTGGAGAATGTTCATCACAGCATTGTGGAAGCGAGAAATTGGGCACTACCCAAATATTGATCAATAGGGAAATGGCCAGCTAAAATGAGATAGAGTTATATGGCAAATGGATACAGCAGTTGAAAGAAACAAGCTCGATCTAATGTATTTGATTATTTCTAAGACATACATGGATCCCTGTGTGGCACAAATGTTCTGTGCTTGGCTGCTAACCTAAAGGTACTGGTGGTTCAGATCCACCCAGTCGCGCCACATAAGAAATGCCTTATAATCTGTTTCTGTAAAGATTGCAGCTAAGAAAACCTGTGGAGCAGTCCAAGTCTATAACATACGTGACAGCGATAAGTCAGAATCGACTTGACGGAAATGGGTTTGGTTTTGGTTTTAAGATATACATGTTTTGTCATTTTAACTTCTCTGAAATTGAGGTGCATCTTAGATTCGTTGTAATACAGTATATGTATCATTGTGAGCAGAACCTGTGATTAATGTTGAGTGAAAAACCAAGTTAAAGATCAATATATATAGGATGAGCTCATGTATGTAAAATAAAACATATATGAAACACCACCATAGTTTCACGTAGTTATGTAACAATTAACATCATGGAAAATTACCCAGGGGCCAGGCAGTCTTCTAAGATCTTTTCCTTTTTTCAAAAAAAAAATATTTTATTGTATTTTTGGTGAAAGTATACACAATAAAACAGGCTCTCATTCAACAATTTCTACAAATAATGCTCACCATTGGTTACATTCTTCACATTGTGTCAACATTCTCATTATTTTCATTCTAGTTGTTCCATTGGCATTAACGTAGTCTTACTGCCCCCAACCTTTTTAACTTTGCTTTAGTGTAACTTGTCCATTTGGTCTCATATAAATAATTTTTTTAAAGAGTAACGTACTCAAGGGTGACATCCTTTATTTTTTGAGCTAACCTGCAATTTAGTTAAAAGGTGACTTCAGGGCTTAGTTTTGATTCAAGGCTTAAATAGTATCTCAAGGCAATAGTGTCAGAGATTCCTCCAGTGTCTATGGGTCCAATAAGGCTCTTTACCTCTTAATTTAATACTCAACAAGGCCCTTAAGACAGGTGATATTTTTACTCCCATTTTATACAAAGAGGTTAAGGAAATTGCCCAAGGTCACACAAACTCTATTTACTTCATACTGAAATAAAAATGATTGATTAGATTTAATCAATTAATTCCCCTAGTGTTATTTGTATCTTTCCAGGAGCTAAAACACAGACAATCATAAACTCAGAAAAAATGCCTTCTAAATTGTATTGTTACGAAATAAAGTGTCACTCTCTTCAGTCATTTATTGTCACCATATTTCTTGCTTCAAAGCAAAGAGACGGATACTTGAGACATGTGATCTATTTCCCCAGTAGCTGAGTTTCCCCAAGCACTGGATTAAGGAGATTGCTCTCAAGTCTTTGAGAACCCTTTTTGTTTTGGCTTTATAAAAATATGTTTCTACATGTAGACATCATTTGTATTTATGAGAACACTTGCCTGACACTCCGTTTATACTGATGTTGTTAATTTAGAAGATGTTCAAGTTGTATTATATTGAGTGAAGTCATAAATTAAGATGCACAAAACTTAAAAAAACACTGAGGATTTTTATGAGCTCCAGGCTCGTAAAAGAATCAATGTATCTGAAAGTGGAAATACTTCAGAAAATAAATGCAGGGATATTTTAAATTGAGAGATAAAGTTCAAGGAAATATGAAATTATGGAGGCATTCTTTTAACTCCAAAATTTTTTGTATACTTTCTTACATTACTCTTAGGATTTCTGTTTCTGATATTTAGCTAATAGTTTTTCTCCAATCTCATTGCTACTATTGGAGAGCCACATTTTGGCCAAGTCTCCCTCTGATGTCAGCAGTTTTTCTAATCCTCCTGCCCCACTAATTGTTATTGCTAGGTTGAACCATATGAAACTTCTGGTTTTGCAAATAAAAAATAGTTGGATTCTCAGGGACACAGCTCAGGGGGCAGGAGTGCATGGAGGGATGGACACTGGGAAGAGGTAACTATGGGGAGAAAGTGGGAGGGGAGCCGTTGCATTGTGGTAAACTGTGGTCAATGTCATGAGACAAAGTGTATGTGAACTGCTGTACGGAAAGTGAATTTGCTCTGTAAATCTTCACCCAAATCACAATTAAAAAAAAAGAAAAAAAAAAGTTGGATTTGGCAAGTTCATATGGTTCAGCCTGACACCATTTCCCTTCGAACTCACATAGCCCTTTATCTGTATCTTGCTGGTGGCATGTACATGGACCCATCTTGTCCATCCATAGACTGTAAAACCCCTTAAAGGTGGAGACTGTTGCTTGTCTCTCTTTGGGCCCTGCCCTCTCTTCTTGCAGTTTTTGTTGTTTGCCATTCAAATTGATTCAGACCCGTGGTGACCGCATGTATTACAGAGTGGAACTGCGTTCTGTAGGGTTTCCTTGGCTGAAATCATGGCAGAAGCAGACCACCAGGATCTTCCACTGAGTGGGTTTGAACTGCCAACCTTCAAGTGATTAGTCCAATGCAAATCATTTGTGACACCTGGGGACCTTCCTTCACAGAGTAGGCTCTGACTCAATCTTTGGTGGGTGGAATGAATTTAAAGGTAGTGTCACTGGTCACTTAACCTCTGTGTCTTCCCTTTCAGCGGTCCACATGTGCAGCGTCTTGGAGCATAACTGTGCTCACTTCTGCATCAACACCCCTGGCTCATATGTCTGCAGGTGTAAACAAGGATACATCCTCAACTCGGATCAGATGACTTGCAGAAGTAAGATTGCTTTGCTGGTGCATTTGTACTGCTCTCCTCTTTTCTCCCGCTCTCTTTTCTCTCATGTTATTGTTAGGTGCTGTCAAGTCAGTGCTGGCTCATAGCGACCCTGTGTACAACAGAATAAAATGTTGCCTGGTGTCATCCTCACAGTCATTGCTATATTTGAGCTCGTTGTTGCAACCACTGTGCCAATGCATCTGGTTGAGAGTCCTCCTTTTTCTGCTGACCCTCTGCTTTACCAAGCATAATATCCTTCTCCCAGGGCTGGTCCCTCCTTTTATTGAGGCAATTTTATTTGTGTAAGCCCCCTCACCCAACCCACTTACAATATTTCTGAGGACAGAGACAGTGATTTGTGACTTGCGTATTTTGTGTTTGCCTCCACCACACCCTCACTCTGCCTCTAGGCCAGCACTGGGCTCAAAGTAGGCCACCAGGACGAGTTTGAAAGGTCTTTGGAGACACCTTCTCAGGAACAGCTGCTTGAATGTGAAGGCTGGTATCCTTTGCATTCAAGCTTGTTCTTTGGGGAGAACTGCTATAGAGCTTTTGCATCTACTCTTTCTTAACTGTTGCTATTGTGTGCCACCGAGTCATTTTTGACTCATAGCAATCCCCTGTGACAGAGTAGGACTGCCCTGTAGGGTTGTCTTGGCTGTAATCTTTTTGAGCAGATTACCAAGTCTTTTTCCTTTAGAGCCACTGGGTGAGTTTGAACCACTAACCTTTTGGTTAGCAGCCAAGCACTTATTATTTTTGCCACCAGGGCTCCTTTTATTTATTGTACCCTGTGGAATTGTTTCCATATCTTATTCTCTTCTCTGAAGCATAGATTTAGGATGAGTTCTTAACATTGACTTGGAATGATTGACTAAGTTGTGTTTTAGAGGTGTGCAGGGATTTAGTTGCTCTGGTGAGGGACACTTCATAGATCTCTTAAATGAAAAAAGGAAAGCGGATATAAAGTGTTAATAGAACTTACATTCTCTTCTTTTGGCCAAGTTCCAAGACTAGACAGTATACTGATATTTAAGCCAGGAGTAGGCAATCCACCACTTAGAGGAGAGAGTTACCTATATGCTGAGCAGTTCACCCTGTGCTTTTATTAAAAGTTGAGTGAAGCCAATGTATTAGCCCACAGATAGCCAGGCTACTGAAGCTAGACCTGAGGAAGGTTGGCCCACATGGAGACAAAGAAAATTCAGCTAATCTGATGCATAGTTCATGCAATGCGTAATCGTTATTAGACCACATGGTAAGCAATTAAGCATTAATGGAAAGCAGTTTGCACAAATGGCTGTAATTAGTATCACATTTATAGAGCCAAACCACATTTTTCTTTTTTCCCCTCACTTTTCAGTTTCAAGGTTGATATTTGTTGGCCAGAGATCTCCCTACCTCACAAGATTAGGAAACATCTGTTTGACCCCTTCTAGTTCTGTGGCCTGTAGAAGCCCAAAGCCCTGTGGACTCTGAATCTCAGGGGGCTTTATGTTCTGGGACCCCAACCAGGTTGTTGAATGCAGCCTTAGGCCTGAATCATCCTGATCTTCCACTGAAAGCTCTGGCCCTTCTTTCTTCAGTTTCCACAACAAAAATCACTTAAACCAGACACTTATGGGTGTAGTAGAATTGACTGAAGAATTGGAGAAGCCAATTCATGTACTCATGTACTGCTCAGCAAACATCCCAAACATCTCATTTGGACCTCTCTCCACAAACTCTCCTGCCCTCTCCTTCCCTAACCTTGACCCTTACCCTCTCCAGAACCTCTCTGTCCCCAAGAGGCTTCTCTGGCCCATCTGTCCCCCTGCCTCCTGCCACCTTGCTGACTCAATTCCTGCTCTTTCCTTCTCTGGAGAAAAAGAAATTCCTCTCCTGTCTCATGCCAGGTTTCTTCTTTCTTTGGTATCTGGGCATGTACTGATGTCCATTTTCTGTGGGCTCTGGCTTAGCACAGTCAGAGGGCAAATAAAAAATAAAAAATTCTCCTCTGATTTCATGAGCCAACCTTTCTCCACACATCAGGGTTTGCCAGCCCTCACCTGGGCCCACACACAGGCTCCGAGGCCCCCTGGGCTCTCTCCAGCACTGTTCTGGCCTTGTCTCCCTCCTGCCTGGGCTGTGGGTGCAGAGAAGCCTGAAACAAAAACTGCCTGGGCCTCCGACTGCTCTCAGGTGGAGGCCAGGAAGCCTACATGGAGGAGGGACATGGAGTCGGGACAGTAGTTCTCAACTTCAGTAACTAAGAATCACCCCGAAGCAGATTTCTGGAACCTACCCTCAGAGACTCTGAGTCAGCTGGTGTGGGGTAGGGCCCAGGAGTCTGCATTTTTAATGAATTTCTGGCACAGTTTGCTGCCACACTTTGAGACTCACTTTAGGCAGTGAGATGATCTGTGGGAAGGGCTCAGAGTTAAGGGAGAAGGGGCTGGGGCAGGGGCTCTGTCCCATCTGACCCAGGCCCTCCAGGCACCCCAAAGCAATTAAGGTACTTTTTTCTTCAGCACCAGCCTTAGTTCAATATATTTTCAGTGATAAAGACTTCTCTCTCAGAAAAAGAAAGATAATCTAACAAATCTGTTTCTTGCTTCCTAATATTGATATACCAGTGGCATTGTGAAAACAGGACCTTTATAATCTGGATTTGAATCCTGATATTATCACTTACTGGCTGTGGCAGTTTGACTCAAAGCTGGTTATTTAAACTCCTTGGTCCTCAAAATTTCTTCATCTATAAAACTGGACAAATAACAACAACAACAACATAAAACTGGAAGGATAATAACAAATTAATACCATCTCACAGATAGGTCCTTGTTAGCCCCTATCTTTGTCTGGTGGACAGTTCAAAGTTGTGCCAAGGGAAGGCTGTGCTGTAAAATGACCTCTTGAAGCTACTTGCAGGGGTTTAACCCTACTCCCATGTAGAGAAACTTACAGCAGGCCTGGAGAGGAACGAGACACAACTAGTCCCATTTCTCCTTTCTTATATTGGGTGTAGCTGGATAATCCCCAACTGAAAAGGAATGTGAAGTCCAAATCCTCTCCCTGAAGCACTTCTTACTCCCCAAGAAATGTTTGCCATTCATTCTTTCATACTCTCTTTCATTTGTTCACTTACTTTTCATCGAGCACATATTTTTTGAGCTTATAAAATGTGCCAGGCAGTATGTAAAGTATTGGAAAAAAAATAGTGACTAAAACAGCAATGTCTCTGTTCTCATAGAGCTCACATTCTTATATGAGAGTAACTAAAATAAACAACCAAGCAAATTGCAAACAAAAGTTCCGGCAGCCGATGTCCAGCTCATTTGTCAGGCCTAACTGTAGGCACTTACTCAGGGTTTACCATGTGCCACATTCTCTCCTGTATGCTTGACATTTGTTATCTCATTTAATTCTCACAACAAGCCTTTATAGTAGGTTTTACCATTCTTAGTTTACAGATAAGGAAAATAAAGCACAAAAGGGTTTAGACAATTTATTCAATGTTGCATGGCTAGTAATGCAACCAAACCAGAATTCAAATTCTGTTATATGTGACTCCATATTCCTAGCTCTTAACCACCATTTGATATACTCCCATGATCCTTGAGGGCCCCCAGATGGCGATAGGGCAAACTTCAAACTTGCAACCAGGGAATGTCCTCCAAGCCCAGGAGAATAGACTGGTTCTATGGCCTGTTGATTCCAGAGGAGTGTCTCTGAATTAATTCACCAGGAGAATGAACAAGTCACTTTTGGAGGAAGTACAACCAGAATGCTCCTTAGACATGGTGATGGCAAAGCAAGAGTTCACCTTGATTATTTTGGGCAGATCACCAAGAAAGACCAATTGCTAGAAAAGAACATCATGCTTGAAAAATAGAGGGTCAGAAAAAACAAAGGAAACCTTTGCTTGGATTGACATAAGGGTTGCAACAATGGGCTCAAACGTACCAACAATTGTAAGGATGGTGCAGGACTGGACAGTGTTTCATTCTGTTATAGAAGGTCACCATCAGTTGTAACCAACTCAATGGCAACTAACAACAAACATCCAAGTGGTTATCATTCCCCACGTCCACTGCCAACTGCTGTGATACTGTCATTGCACAAAAATGATTTGGGGACGGCCTGCCAGCAAGTGCCTTCATACACACACATGCTTGTGCATGTGCACACACATGCACACACCCACACACCATAAACTGTCCCTATAGGACAGAGTAGAACTACTCCCATAGGGTTTCCAAGGCTGTAATCATTATAGAAGGAGACTGCCACATCTTTGTCTCACAAAGCAGCTAGTGGGTTCAAACCACCAACCTTTCAGTTAGCATCTGAGCATTTAACCACTGCACCACTAAGGCTTCTGCACTTACCATATGTTCTAGTTACCTAGTGCCACCTTGACAGGAATAGTCCACAAATAAGATGGCTTTAACAAGCAAGAGTTTATTCTTACAGTATTTGGAGGCTAGAAATCCAAGTTCCAAGTGCCAGGCTGTAGGTGCTGGGTGAAAGCCTCTCAACCTTGGGCTTCAGCTCTGCCTTCTGCTCCCGGCCCACTGAAGCTAGAGGCTTTTCTTCACTCAGACAGCTGCTGGCTGCTGAGACTGACAAGCCCAAGGTTGACAAGTAAAAAGGCACAGTCCCGATGTTACCAAACCACATGCCAGGCCATTAATTTAAATCCATTGAAAGTCCCAAGGTTGGCCGAGCATGGCAGGCTGCTGAACAATGACACAACTACATGCAGGGTTCAAGTATGCCATAAGCTGGAGACCATTCCCCAAGACTTCTTCTTATATACAGGAAGCAGACCACATCTCTAAAGCAGCTACTCAGCTGCTCACAGTAGATTCTACCATGGAGTTGATTGCCAGTCTCATCATGGGAATACCATATCCAGCTGCCCAGCCACTCAACCAGGCCCAGCCAAGTTGACACACAAACCATACCCACCACTTTATATTTGTATCTTGCTTGTGTGGAGAGAGGAGGCAGATCGA